AAATGCATATATGTTGCAAACAGAAAAAAGGAAAGGCTTTAACAAAGAAAAACTGAGGTTCTAAATGTGATTGATAGGTTAATAAAGGCCTTTATCTTGAAAATTTTTTTCCATATACTTCACTAGAAGTTAGGACAAAAAGTACACAAAAATAACTTCAAACTCTCTTCTACATCAAAGCATGGTCCATGACAATCATCCACTGAATGTAGACGGAGAAAATTGTGAGAGTTGTATACTTCTCCAGAAGAGTTAATGAGGTTTCTCCTCCCTTATCCTCTCAAAACTTCATACCATGAATACAAACAATCCAATGGTTCAATGCTAATGAACAATCAAAATATAATACACCAAAATATGTAAAGTGCGCTGGTTATGAAATTCAAATAGTAGGGGTTCACCTGGAAATCAACCATGTAGGAGATGAAATGAGATAAATTTACTTCATTTGAAGATGGTACAAACACAGAAGCCATAGTAATAGCAGAGTATAACAACTAAAAAACAAACATACCATGTATCTTAGATGAAAAGGAAATAAATACAAAAGAAAGCCTCAAAACATTGCATTTCATATCCACTGGATTGTTAGAAATGATACTGCTTCAAAATATTCTACAAAGTTTAGTTTAGTAGGATTTGTATTTGCAAATTTTGATTTCTGGATTTGAAGATCCACCAATTCTAAGTTACAGATGATAACTACAAAATATAGTACTTAAATCACAATGAAATCTTTTAGCATGTCATATGTTTAGGTCAACACATAGTGGATATAGCAGGAGGAATAGACAATCAAGAGCAGCAGAGTTTGGCATGGGAGGCTGGCTCTAAGAGTAACAGATTTGCTGCAGCAAATTATGGCATGACAGTGGCAAAATGCTAATGGTGATGATTGAAACTTTGAAAGAGGCCAAGAGTCTATATTATCAAGTATTTAGGAATAAGAAATCAGATATCCAATTCAAACTATAGATGTTCAAGGCAAAATCACTATTCTAAAGTTTCATCAATTTTTGAAATAGCTTTAGTAGTTAAATAACTCCAAACAAAAGACTTACTTCCATAACAAAAAAACTGATTAAAAAACACCAATATAGAAGCTTCACTTCCCAAAATGTTATTTTCCCAGTTACACCACGGAAACCAGTAACATTATCAGACACAGTGCAGAATACTTTTAGTCCTCAAAACAGTATAATTGAATTACCAAATTTAGTCACTACTCAATAGAGCACAACATACCATCTGAATGGTTCTTGGGGCTTTTCAGGTGCTCATTTTCATTTGATGGATACGACTCCTCTACTTGACAAGTACAACACAGCCACTTGCGCATCCTTGTTCTCTTCTTCAAATACAAATCGTCTGTATTTTCTAGACGTACAAAATAGCCAGGAGGAGGGGAATGCACCTGCATAGTCCAGAAAATATTTAGTCTATGCAAAGTCATTAATGGTGACTAGAAAAGTTCATATAACTAAACAACTTTCCACCAAATTTGAGTCGTCCTCTGCTTAGAAGCAAGGTTCAGCTAAATTCCAAGCCTTAATGATATATTTTATCCCTGAACTCTCTGAAGGGATAAAAAGTTGTTGTTAAACTTTTTTAGTTACCTAAATGGCCTTAGATTAACTTTTCCTACACCTTTTTGGTCCTTTCATTTACAGCCATCTCACATGAAACATTATTTCATTGAAATTTTCATTTTTCAATTCAAAAAAACCACATGAAAAAGTAGAAATAAAATTTTAGCCAAAAAAAAAAAAAAAAGAGCTTAAGAAATAATCAAAATTTTCATCCTATAATCAGGGAATTATGTAAATAAAAAAAAAGAAGGATTCCATAATTGAAATTCAAAATTGCATATACATACATTCACAATCCAAAAGTAAAATCACAATAGATAATGGAGCCACAATCAAAACCGAATCAAATCCCTAATAGGAAATTGATCTCATTTCCCAGAAACTTAGATCAAAAGAAGAAAAAAGAAAATCAATTCAGAGGGAAAAAAAAAAAAAAAACAAAATTCATCAAAAAGAAAGAAAATTTAACCCTACCACCAAACCAAGTCGATGATATCCGCTCTCCATCAAACAACAACACAAAAAAACAAAACCCAATTCCCAATTTCAATGAACTCAAATCCCCAAACAAAGAATCAAAGAAATAAACGAAACCCAAAAGCAAAAACACGAAATTACTTAAGAAAATGAAAAATGGAAATGTTAAAACAAGAGAAAGAAAGGAACAAGACAGATCGAAACCGACATGAAAAAAAAATGAAGAAAAAAAAAATGGTATTAACCTGCTATTTCCTTCTAGTCGAGATCTCTCTTTTCCGTATTTCAGTTTTGGGGATTGGGCAGTTTGTTGGAAGAGATAAACTCTCATGAGAAAGTCTGGGCCTTTCTGTTTTGAGAGGTGCAGAGAATAAAAGGGGCAGAGACAGAAAGGCAAAGGGGTGAAGGAAGTTAGAAGACAAATTTATAAAACAACC